GTCACGCGTCCCTTGAGAAAAGTAGCTACAATGTTGACGGAACGTTGGATAATATTTTCAAAAGGACACTGCATTTATTTGAGTGCTCCTAAAGCGACCTTGGTATACAGCTTAGCTGTAAAAATCATAAACTTCTGGTTCGGATTGATAATTTTCATCCTAAAGCAAGTTTAATTAGTTCCAAAAACTGGTGAAGTGGAAAATCCGTTCGGAACTTCTTCGCTTTAGTTTCTAAATCTGCGTTACGATATAATACAGTGCTTATAACTGGTGATTAAGTTACCTATGAAGTGGAGAATTATTTTAACGAGGTTATTCTCCTCTATGAACTAATTAAATTCTGTTAGAAATCTCTTTATGATTGCTTAGATAATGAACGTAGAATTAACTAGTGCAGCTGTTGTGTTATTAGCTTGATCTAATGAAAGCTCATTCAATTTCCTTTTAGTTCGTTTTCACTTTATTAAATAGCTAATTGTATATTCAACAGAAAACACTCGTAAAATTAACAATAATTATTAGTCTGGATAGTTTCCGTATAATGTTGTGCAGCATTCTAATTTTATAGTAGCTCTTATATGGGATTAACATTATAAAATGAGAAAAATGTCAATCATAATTATCTGAAGATCAATCATGCAATTCATCATTTCATTGCATTATTCTTTGTATGATCAATTACTAAAATACCACGTTTTATATTGAACATAGATTATCTAACTAATTGTAGTCATACAATTATAGTAATACATTACTAATGAAAAGAATTTTTCTTCACTATTTCAGTAACATTGCTTACATGTCAAGATCATGTACAGACTTCAGAAATATTATATACTTTCTCGTGCATTTCGTTTTCATACTTAGAATGTTGACACGCAATCCTATATCCTCTGTTTTAGTTTTTCAAATCTTCTTTAAAACTTTTGTACATTCGTAAGTTAATTGTGACATAATTATCGCAATTAGTATTTACAAACTCTTAGAAATTTTCAAGGAAGGGAAAACTTGGACTTGTAAAGCACTAATTTCATGTCCAATGAGAAAATTACTTCCTTTTAAAACAATCAACCGTGCCATTCCACTGAAACACCACTTCTATTTCATGAAAGGGACATATTTAAAATGCTTCAGAGACGTTAAACGTATCACAGAGTTTACATTTCACAAACTTATAATCATGTTAAGATACTTTTAACACGTTGATCGCTGCACGATTTTATAGATCAAAATATACAAAATGGAAAAATATAATATTATATCACTTGATTGAATTGCATTACTATTGTTGCACGTTACTATAGCTGAATGTCACTGTATTAGGTAGCATTATTTATAGTATAGAAACGTTTTCGAATAATCGTCGTTTAATTAAATGTTTTATAATAATTCGATTTGCTTCGAGGTCACTGGTGACCCTCTTGGCATTCAATGTGGTAAATAATAATAGAGCAAAGCTCCACAATAATGTAAGGGATAAGTGGTTTTTGTGAAACAATCATCTGAAATAATTCATCTGTTCAAACCTTAAACGTTCAATATTCCGAAACAAGTGGAATTACAATACTTAAAATAGTCTTGTGGTCAGTAATATAACAGTCAAATAAAAATAAATTCATTTGGCGAACTCTATAGTTTTACTTTTACAAAGAATTTAATAAATTCACGAGAATAACAAATCAGAATATTTCAAGATGAGAAGTATTGTCTGTTTCAAAGAACTTTTTATAACATTACCGTAATCAAAGAAGACAATTTAGTTGCTTTTTCGTAAAGAATAAACAATAGGAAACATGGTGGCAGTGATACTTTCGTTATTATACAACATTTTATTCAGTTATGAAAATGATAAATACGAAAATCTCGAGAAGAATTTTATTGTGCGTATTAAAAAGTATTTATAATATTCACCAGAGTTAACGTAGACGAGAAACAAAATCCGATCCCGTTTCTGTTGTGACTAGAATGCGACATGCAACACAAAGCGCCTATCACTCTTTGTCATTACAAAGTATTCAATTCATTATACAAAACTATGGTTATGTTCTCTTCCAAGCGTAACAATTGATAACAAAAGACTAATATCTATTTTGAATTCAAAAGAATCATGTAACATTTGTGGTTATTAAATTCTGTTCAAATTCTTTACCACGAGTCTAACACCTTATTATGAGGCCAGGAGTTAATCATAATATTTGTATGAGATATACGATTAAAAAACTGTCTACAGTCCGTAGTGTAATTACGGGGCATAAAAAGTACTTAATTCGATCGCGTTCCCATGAAGGACGACGGAACGTCGTTGCGGCGCTCCCCGCGAAACGCGATCGTTCTCCACGCGAAGTTGAAGTCTCCACCCTCAGCCGTGGGCGCACCGCGCGCGGCGGATCCTTACATGCAAAATCCGGAGTGGCGATCAATGGGTGGCGCGCCGCGAGGAGATTGAGGCTGATGGGCAGAATAGGCGGGTGAAGCTTGGCCACGGCATTCAACGGGGCTAACTCTATCCCGGCAAATTACACTTCCATCCCCCTACGTGATAGGTGCAGCAAACATGCCCGTCAACGTCCGACCGAGTTTCTCCCTTATTAGTGACACTCCACACGGATTGTATTTCCGAAGCAATTAATTAACAAACTTTCGCGTATCACCGTCACGAACCACGAACCGTCACGATAACGAAACTTGATAGAAAGAACGACAGAAGAAACGAGACCGAAGGGAACAACCAAATCCTTGGCTTCACTGAATCACCTCCAATATTTAGACCTGCAAATCACACATCTCGTTTTGACGCTTTGATCGCCGTGTCACTCGAACTCGGGTGACACGATTTCTCGGATAGATTTCAAAGTGAATTCTCACGGTGAGGTATCGAGAGAATTTTGTTGGATTTATAAGACGCGAGAAGATTCATACATTAACATGTTGTTGACCGGTCACGAGTTAACTCCTGTTTGCACATGCATAAGATATTTTAATTTTTGAAACGCAGGGTAATGTAGAATATTGCAAAAGCAAAATATTCATAGTTATATGTCCAAAGTTTCATTTCCATTCATTATGTCTAAGTAAAATATATTGAAGTTTATTTAGATTGCTTCACTTTCATATTTAATTACGGAATAATAACCGGTGACAATGGGTAGCTTCCGCGTAAAATTGCTGGTCAATAATGTGTTAATTGTCGGATGAATATGCGTTAGAGCATTACGAAATCGAAGATATTTCGTGAAACGGACAGTGTAATGTTACAGTCTTTCGCAATATTTACTATATAAACTTTACTGTGTCCTACAAATCTTGATGGAATTTGAACGTTTCTGTGCATCGGTATGAAAATTAATCTCCATGAAAGTCGAAGCATCAATATAGAAATTAACCACTATGGAAGTCAAAGTATCAGCATAAAAATTAATCTCTAACAGTACGTTATAAAAATGTTGACCCTTCAGTCTTCGTTTTATTAAAAAAATTGTTTCAACTGTTCGAGATTTTGATGGGAGCTGATTCAGGAGTCATCGTGTTAATAACCTTGATGCAGTTTGTTGGACATGTACACTGATCAGTACTCATTGCAATGAAATTGACCTTTCTTATAAGAATGTCAGAAAATATTTTTAAAAATCCCATCCCTTGACTAACAGTCTACTTTGTCTTCCTCTTTTTATATGACTGCTTGAATTTAACACTATAATGACATACAAGATAGGTAATCGAATCGTTACCGAATCGCATGCAATGTCAAAGTACACAGTTCTCATAGAAACTATCACTGTAAGGTCATCGACAACGTCGACTCGTCTGAGCAATCGTACTCTCTTCTACTGATATCTGATACACGTTCTTCTGTTTTAATCCTTCGATTCTAAGACCGCGTATGTACATCCATCAGCATTTCTATGTACCAAAACATCTATATTCCAAAGGTCTCCCCAATTACGCGACAACCTTACAGAACCCCGACTTTTATATTAATAAAATATTCACGAAAATCTTGGAAAATGAATAAAATTGTTCCTTCAATATCCGTCTGCTTAGAGCTACAGGATGAGCAGTAAAGTTCATCATTCATTACCAAAAGAGTTAAATTCCTCGGACTTCGAGAATCATTAATTCTAGAACAAGTTTGAAGGTCACAGCCTTACGTCCGCCGGAAAACGAATACGAACCGCATTGTTGGACGGGAATTAAAATACATATCCGTGCGGGGAAGCCCGAAGTTTCCCGCGTTTCGGTGTCCTCCGCTGCAGCCCGCCTAAGCTTCGCCGTGTGGAAGCGACGAAGTTTCTGATTCGGCCTCGCCGCGTGAATTAGCGGCATTTGCATGAAATGTTTATGTAATTTACAAGCGAAGTTCGCAAGAACGAGCGGCCGTGGGCGCAATATTAAATTTATTCCGACCGATGAATTTTCGGCCTGCCGAGCACGCGCGGTTTCGAAATTCGAGCTTTGATCGCGGGACTGAATATTTTTGCCTGCCCCTCTAGCGACGGTTAAATTTCGGTGGCGGGTAAATAATGGAGGGACGAACGTCGCGATAAACTTGGCTGCTGGCTGACCAACGGTAAACTCCTCTACTGGCTCCGTGCCGCGTGCATACGCGAGCTGTCAGGTCGCGTTTACATCGATGCTCCGGAATATTTCGCGAGAACCTAAATCAGTTAGAACGGATATCATTTACTTATGCCCGGAGGAGGGGCTAAACGTTCCGCTCCATTTGTCGGGCGTCTGTTCATTCGAAAAACGTCGATATGCCGTTTCTGCCGCACTGTTTACGCGGCAGGTGTGTACATTGTAAACGCTGTTAATTGGTTTTCCGGGCCGGAAAACGTCCAGCGTTTCATCGAGCAGCTTATCAAGGTACTTCGACCGTTTCACAGAGTAAATCCTTTCCCCGTGTGAACGGCACTTTATACGAACATTGTTTCTCGATTGATACCCTCGGAGGGTTACTTTCGAAACTACAGAACTCGGTTCCTCACGATCGCTCCACTCACCCGATGAGAAATCTAGGTGCGCGCGGGGACAGCCAGAGCTGTCTGCCAGTTATCCTCGACGGTAGCGCCTCGTCAGACATCCGATCGGCTCAGGATCGTTCCCCGAGCTTGCACCGGACGAGGGCCGATCGAAGCGTCCCCTTGATCGCGGGGACGGTCCTCATTCCGAGGATCCTCCCTCGATCTATCCACCCTCGGCCCAGGCTAGTCCGAACTTCCAGGTCGCCGGGCGTCGCACGTGATCGACGATCTACGATCCCGGTCGCGCACGACGCGGTACCAGCTACGAAAGTATCTTATATCCGCGTAGTTTCACGGCGGATTCATAGATCGCGTACGCGGACGTGGATCCAAGAGACGGGCGGTTAGCGAGTTCGGTCGCGGGCCGATTATCGAAAACAATGCGAGATAGAGGGAGCGAAGTCGCACACGCGGTGGCCAGTCGCAGACTGAACTCGCGATCCGCGAGTAGCATCGATTTCGATGGAGGGGGAAAGGACTACGGGCCGAGCGGCGCGGGAGGGGGATGAGAGGGCGCGGTGGGAGGGCGACGCAACGAGGGCGGAAGGGACGAGAGAGCGGACGGATGGGGCACAACGAGAGGAGCAGTCAGCCCACACGCGTCTTTAACGGCCGCGTCGGACGGGGCCGGGGCTTATTTTGCTCGCGAGGGCCATTCCGGACGGCGGAGGCCGCCGGCAGGCGCGAAAGTAAACTTCGCCGACGTCCGTCGACGAGACGGGGCTGTCGTCCGTCTGACGAGAGACGTTTTTTCCTGGATGCTACCGTGCGAATTCTGGGGAAGTCTGACAGCGTGACCTTTATTCCGCGATGCGTAAAATTGTCCGGTGAAATTGTTG